GCCTATGCTTTTTTCCTGCAATACAGCTGAGGTAGGAGGCCCACTGGGAAGAAATAAGCCAGACTGGCGATAACATATTTCAAATTTGTTCCATCCATCCTAATACCTGAAAGCAGCATTCACAGGTTATGGAACTTGTTGGTTTTGCACCACCTTGGTTCTGTTGGTTTTGATGAAATGGTGTAACGACGACAGGCGAGGTGCGGTATAGTGGGCGTGTGTCTCGGCGTATCGAAACCTGCCGAACCATGCTTCCATTGAATCTTGACCCTTTCATTGGATATTTGGTTCAGCGTGAAGGACTCTTTCTCGACTTACCACAAAAAAGGTGAGATGAGGAAGGCAAAAAGGCAAAGAGACTTTGGTTTACTCGAAAAAATGGCGATGAATTTATTCATGATTCTATTGTACATTTTTACATGGATTAATATTTAGGAGCACATTTAAGAAATTCACAGTTGAGAAATCAAAGAAGAACAAGTTGAGTAGTACAAACATGGGACGAGACTTCAATGATATCAACAATCACAGCAGCAACAGCATAGATCTCCATCACAGCAATTCTCTAGGCAGCATCCGCAACATAAGCCGGCCAAGCAGAGCAGCACACAGTCCTCCGCCACCGCCGGAGTTACGACTCGGCTGCTGGACGCTAAGATAGGAGAGAATATAAAGAAGAAAGCTATGCTATCAAAACTCGAGCTTTTGATATTCAAGCATCTATGACTAGGTAAAAATACTATCTAAGGCTAAGAAGAATATCTAAAATTAGACAAAGCTAAAGCTAAGCGGTACTAAGCATTCTGTCTGATGGTGAGACAAGTCCTACGGCTATCTGGCTAAAACATTTATACGGTGACACGCCTGCCACTTTGGTACTTGCTCCCTTCGTACTGACGTAGGCTTACATCCAACTACTAATGTATAAATACATTTACTTCTTGAGAAGAGGTGCCTCCGAATGTTTCGAGGTCACCTCTTGCTCATGAATGTAAGCGAAAATATACACCTTGCGCGTGCGCGTAAAATCAATAAGCAATGACGAACCCAGCTGTTGGTTGCTGGTTCGCTGACCTGAAACGTTGTTACCTTCTATTTTACCAGATGAAACTCGTGTCAAACACTCGTGGGTGCTGCGGGGTAAATTTATGGCTTAATTATGTAGCAAGCATCTTTCAAAACTCAGGATCCTCTAAGTAGATGTTACCGCTCACTATCAGCTTACAATGAAGCACTAAGAAAGCTCTATGAACTCATGAAAAGCACCGTAATTGAGAAGGAGTTCAGCAGAATATGAGCGAACGACCGACCGGGCGGCCCATCCCTGCTATTCCATTGTTTTTTCAAGAAAATGAGATCGACCGACCGTGAAAACGCAATTGGACTAGAAAAGAGCATCAGACTGCGGAAAAAGCCAGGCCCACAACATATTATTATTTATTTATTATTGCACTCAAGGTGCGCCTAAGACAATCGGCGTGCGTATAATACAAAGTTGACTGCTAGAAAAATTCAACACACGCCTAGATTAGCGACCTAACTACATGCAGAATGTGTCCATAGAAAATATGAATTTGTCAGTATTTGCGACCCTTGAAATTGAAATACTGTAGATTATTTTTTCATTTTTGAACCCCTAAGATGAGCATGCACCACGGAGGGCATTCTCGCCTAGTACCGAAAACCAGGCGATAACAATTTCACACTAATCTCACATGCACTTCAAACCAAACGCCGATGTAAACAAGAAGTGTTCCATTTGAAGAAGTGGCTTTAGTCCCATATGGAAATCAACCAATCGACACAAAATATTTATATTTCCGCAATCAGAGAAACATGAATTCCTCTGTCGATTTTCCAACCTGTTTGAAGAGATTGCTCTGAGTTTGCAGAAATTTCTACTGTCATTCTATCACCACTTTCTGATGGTGTTCACAGTTACCTTTTGAAAACCCGTATGGTTTTCCTAACGGCTGAATTCCTTTGAAACTTGTTCCTTTAGCTACAGCTAACAAAGTTTCGAGCAGGTTTCAAAAAGTCAGCGCTATCATGACGGAAACATTGCCTCGTTGAATTTTGGCCAAAAAAAACCTTCTATTCTTCCATCGCTGTAC